ATATATATATATATATATATATATATATATGAGATCTAACAGACAATAATGCCAAGGAAAGTATAGGGAAAGATATTAGACCAAGTTGTGATGAAAATATGAAGAAAAGTGGGTGAAAAGATAACTTGCCGTGGGCAGGATCCAAACCTGCGACCTTGGAATGACGCGTTCGATGCTGTACCACTGTGCTACCACGACAGCTATCCCCCCAGCCACTTTATAGGGTTTATATGTGAATTAAACGTGGGAGTGTCAGTCAGCGCCACCAGTAGCCATGGCGGCGAGTGTGGCACACTTTCTTGAGCCTGTTGGCGTCACGTAGCACGTGAACTTGTTACAAGTGGCCAGCTGACCAATAGTCCCTCGTATACAACCTGAAGGCACTAAGTCTGCCAGTACGAGACCCTCGTTAATGAATAAGGAATGAAGTTTATACACTAAGGGCTCGTTTTTCCGTGTTTTCACACAATAATAATGAGATCTAACAGACAATAATGCCAAGGAATGTATAGGGGAAGTTATTAGAACCAATGTAAAGTAAATGAGAAGAAAGAAAAGTGGGTGAAAAAATACCTTGCCGTGAGCACGAAAAGGTATATATATATATATATATATATATATATATATATATATATATATATATATATATATATATATATATATGTATATATATATATATATATATATATATATATATATATATAATATATATATATATATATATATATATATATATATATATATATATATATATGCTCACGGCAGGGTATTTTTCACCCACTTTTCTTTCTTCTTATTTACTTTACATTGGTTCTAATAACTTCCCCTATACCTTCCTTGGCATTATTGTCTGTTAGGTCTCATTATTATTGCGTCAAAACACGGAAAAACGATCCCTTAGGTATGCACATCTCTCCCTCGTATATATATATATATATATATATATATATATACGTGTGTGTGTGTGTGTGTGTTTGTGTGTGCTCGCGCCTCGCTGCGGTGGTCGAGTAGCTGAGGTACTCGGCTGCTGACCCACAGGTCGCGGGAACAAATCCCGGCTACGACAGCTGCATTTCCAATAGAGGCGGAAATCTTGTCGGCACGTGTGCTCAAATTTGGGTGCACGCTAAAGAACCACAGGGGGTCGAAATTTGCGGAGCCCTCCACTACGGCGTCTCTCATATTTAATAAACGTTCATAATCAATCAAACCTTAAACCCTACATATCAATTAATCGTGTGTGTTTGTTGAATTATTTTTTTGCTAAAAGATGGCGGAAGATTACGCTTTCGCAAGTGGGTTTAGGAAACTACCATCAAGTTCATGCGCGTTTCCGTGCAGGCAGGTAGCAGTGAAGTTGAAATGAATGCTTAAAATACTTTCTTTTTTTGCATACGCCGAGCACCCCACTATCCGCGTATAAATTAAAAAATGGCTCCGTATCTGCATGGAACCGACAAATTACGCTTGAAATACGATAATCATGTGTGTGAGAGAGGTAAACAAAACATTTATTAGATGATCTGCGCAAGAGAATCAGTGAATCGTATTCTGCAGGTACTGCGTTAGAGTGCCTCAAGCGTGCAGTGGAGGCGAACAAGCGCATCAAGTCACGTCACGAGTGAGACATGAGCGCCATCTCGCTGTTTTCTTGGAAAACGTAGCGTGTGGCTCTGAGTCGGGTGTGCGCGCCCCTCTCAGAGGTGAGAAGGTGTAGAGCGCAAGGAGACGGGTAGGTGCCACCACCATCTCGTTTAAGCAAAGCATTGAAACACTCGCCTGTTCGTGCAAGCGTTGCATGGTCAGCGCAGCGTGATAAGCGCTATGGTCCTTAAAATTAGTTATGTATGCCTTTTCTAGTAAAAGACGCAACGCAGAATATATACGTTTTGTCATGGTGCCCCAGACATGCGCAATAATTGCTTTTTAATTTACAAATACACAAGTATGAATGCTGAATCTTGAGCAACATTGGTGGGCAGTGCGGATGGGGTCGGCAGTTTAGGGAATCATCCGGAGCCTTTTAGGGTAGCGTTAAGGGCAGACAAACCAAAATTTTTGTTTCGAAGGTCCCTAAGAAAGACTTTCGTTTTTAAAAGAAGCGAGAATGGAGAAACGGACTCCATTTCTCCTTCGGCGCAGCGACTTATTCTCTTTCGGGAGCCTTACCTGTCGTGCCCTCTCATGGCAAGGACCAAAGGAGCAAAGTTTTTCCAATACAGTGCTCTCCTTAACCACGAGCTGCCACGACGCCAACAGCCACTGTCATCGCTCACGAAAGAACACCGTCGGGTGCGAGGTCATCTCTTATTTATCTCGCACGACCCGCGTTGTAACGTACGTATACACCACTGAGACGGTCGTTACCACATCAAAAACAATGTTATTGAAGGGCTAACTGTGTACTGTATCCATGCCTGAGGGTCACACTTGTGGTAAGCACGTCAATAGAATATAAGCAAACGTTAACACTAACCGAAATCGACGCGACGAGGGAGACCAAGTCCAGCTAAAGTCCGTGAATATTTTTAGGAAAGTAACGCCATTCATTTAACTGAGTCGCCACGCCACGCACCCTCCTCTCGCGCCTCTGAACCGCCACGATCATCGCGCGTGTTATCAGCGTGATATAGTATTCTTGATAGGCAATTGACGCGGGCCGAGTTGTAGGGCCAGCGCCCGCACGGTGGGCATTCGGGAGATGTTATAGAAAAGGTTTAGACACTTGGGAGAGGTAGGTTTGGCACATTGGCGACGATATGGAGGAGAGTGGCGGTACTTTCTCTATATTAAGGAACCCTCTCCGAGTAACAAGGGGAAGAACAAAAAAAAAAAGACGCGCCCTCCGAAATGGCAAGCGCGCGGCAAGCGTTTGCCTTCTCGGAGGTGTCAAGAGAAATATTACCTGTGACAGTGGTCGAGAGATGGCGCAGCCTTCCGAATGCAGTTAGCATTCTATCCACGGCTCGACGAGGTCATCGTTTTCGCGCAAACCTGACAAACTCTAGTAATCATTTCGTTCTTCAATGTGCAACCACTGATAGACTTCCCATTGTCTAAGAATCAGACACAATATATTTATGCGTGCGCAGGTTGTGGTATGGCCATGAAACGCAAAAAAGTTGACCAAAGCATACTTGTCACTTGTGCCACTGTGATCAGTCTAAATTCCTCGTTATAAAAGCTTGTGCGTTGTCGTAGTTGGCGTCAGTAAACACGTCCGAGTGTGTACCGCTGTGGCGAATTGTTTTTGGCGCTCTTGTACATTGAGTTCACTCTATATATATGTACGTGTACTTTGTGTCCTTATGTGCATGTGTAGTTATATGCATTGCATCAGCATAAATTTGGCGTCCGGTGTCAGTGAGTAATCAATGATTGGGCTGACTCGCCAACTATTCGCTAGGGAGCCGTGCGGGTGTGTCAACGTATGCCGCGACAGGCAACTTTTTTTTTCAGTATTGTTCAGTCCCTCCAGAAAAATAGGAACAATAGAGGGGAAAGAACGGCAGAGAGGTTAACCAGCCTATAGGCAGCCGGTTTGCTACCCTGGGCATGGGAGAGGGATGGGGGAGATGAAATATAGAGAGCAGAGATGGAAGAGAGAAACACAGCACATTCAGCGCACACGTGCGCACACTCATAGTCCAGTCTTGTCTTTCGTGGTGTGTGACATTGCTGTTACAGTCGCTTGTTCAAGTTCGTGTCTCAGTCCCTCCAGATTGCGCCAGCTACCATCTTCTTCATGGCTGTTATACTCTCACACCTCCAGCTACTTATATAACGTGGATCATCTATTCATCAAAACTGCACTGCTGAGCTAGAATGGTTTCGCTGCGATAAAGTCTGTGGTTTGGAGGTATATCTCGTGGTCTGCGGCCCCGTAAACGCATGAATAACGTCGCTACACTATGTTAATCTGCGGGAAATAAGTACAGCAAGCCTATAATGCACTCATCGGGGGAGAACTCCGCACTATCTGTGTCTTCCACAGGGAACGTCGTCTCGCTGGCCGAACGAAACCTACTAGCTCTGTCGTTCTGTTTCGCGGTGTTTCATCACCACAGGTTCATCTGCTCGTCTTTATAATCATTTCGTTCAATATCAAGCTCAGCGGAATCCGTATTTCGCATATAGTCAGTGCCGTCTACTCCTTATCAGTCGAGAATCAGATGCATTCTCTAGGCCTACTTGCTTCGTTGACCCGGGGTCAGCCATCTTGATTTTTATGAGAAGAAACAGTGTATTTTTTCGCAAAAAGGAGCAACGTTTCTCAAATTAACGACGATTATTGGGGACAACGCCATTCCTCCCTAAATGGAGAGAACGTCACTCTATTTCTTTAAGCATGTAGGGTCAGTGCGTTAGTTTAAACCTGAGTTACGGTTTCAAATGTGAAGCTCAGTTTGTTAAATCACTGAGAGTATTACATGGGTTCAGTTATTTAGGACAATCCTGGTGATAAAGCATATGTTACAACTTTCTCTACTTTTTTTTTTGCAATACTGTACTATTCTGTAATGCTTTCTTCAACTCTAGAAGACATCAGCTACTGAGACAGTGTTCGTTGCTCACGTACTACTGCAGATAAAAACTTCACTGCCATAATTATCAAAGACAGTAATTCTCTCCATCTTTCCTCTTTCACCTCCCTGCTTTCATCATTTTTCTAAAAGTGCTGTGGAAATGTATATTGCGTAGTTAGAGGCAAAAAACACCAAAGTGTAATGTTAAAAACATTGTATTGATTGTCGAAGGAACAAGACGCAGAGGTAGAAACATTGCATTGTGGCGTACGTGCGTGTCACTTGGTCTTGTTGGCATTGATTCGATTCAGAACAATTTATTGATATATGCATCAATATACATTCAGGCCACCAGTCAAATTGTGTTCGAAGCGCCCTTCGGAGTGAAGTGGGGCCTCTAGAGTTTCCAGAGAATGATTCTTTATCACGTGCCGCACAGGATGTAGCGCAACAATCAACATTATTTCGGCAGCGTTACCACTTGTAACCATAACCTCCATATCCGTATCCTCCGTAGCCACCGTAACCACTGCCGAGGCCGGAGTGGGCAATCAGAGCGCCTCCATTGTGCAGCTTGTTTACGTGATGCACCGTCTTCACCAGGAAGGCCGGTCCAGCTACGGCCTTTGTGAAGGCAGGCCCACCGCCTAAAATTGCCACACTGCTGCCGACGCCGACGCCGGTGACACCGTAGCCACCACCAAGCCCATAGCCGAGACCATAACCTCCGTAGCCATGACCGTAGCCAAGACCGATGCCACCGGCTGATGCAGTGGCGAGGATGGCGCAGACGACGACTGCAATAGTCTGTATCGGATGAAGGAGCAAAGAAAATTGTTCATCAGAAATCATTCCATGATTTTTTTTTCATTGAAGGCTTTGTGAGGAGAGTTGTTTGACTGGTAGAAAGGAAGAAACCTGACTACGGCTTAGCCTGGTCATCTTTTCAATATATGCCTCATGTATGAATTGACCTAAATCAAGAGAGTCCCATCAATATTTTGTAACTTCAAGTGACCGCGCGAAAAGTTTCAGAGCCATGACAAAAATGCCCCTCCCCCTTGCGCCCTCGCAGAATAAAGAACAGTGGTCACACGGCGCTCTGATCTTAATTGTGTTCGTGGAAAGAGGTCAAAATTAGAAAAAGGGTGCACTGCTGCAAGAATTCGCCCCCTGTCCTCTTACTCTGCGCTCTCTAATTCATGGATACTCTGCTTGTCGAAACGTTTCTCCTGCAAATATGCTTTACAGTCAAATGCAAGGCCCTAGGCATGCGGGGAACGCCCATAGATTTATTATCACTCAGTTTCACTGTACGTGTTTGGTTATATGATTCATGTCGGACGCTAATACAAGCAAAGCTCTCGCAACATTCATGGTATGCAATTGACCCTAAATCCACGATTTCCGTTTGCGGAAACCCCTCAAGGGCAGAACATAGACGCATTGCCATCTATTTGGCAGTTATAATTATTGTAGCTCGAACTTCAAAAGGCACGTGTGCTATTATTGTTAAAACGAGGGTTCCTCACAATCCTAACTGTGACTTGCTCTCAGAGCTTCATGACGGGTTCTTTTATATGCATACGTAACGAACGCACGTCGTTCTTGAGGAACTCACCAGGGTGTTCATGGTGGCTGAGACTTCTGCGACTGCTGCTCAAGAGTGGACGTCTCTACAGTGCATCTGCGTACTCCTTAAATACTGCACACCGCATAAAGGAAAGCCTAGGTGCGGCAGTAACGACAGTCACGTATTCGCTAGCGCTCTCGGTCGGTGGTATCATGACACTCGTCTTTCTCTCGCCTCTTATTTAAAAACTCGAAGAAACAAATGTAAAACTTACGTTTTCAGTGGTATTTTTTTCTTTATAAAGGGCGTTGCTGGGGGCTGGCCGTCGAGTATCTTACGCGAAAGCGGAAATCAAAAATTCGGACGCGGCACAGTACGGATTGTATCGCGTATGGAGTCGGACCTCGTCTCTTTATCTCGTTTTGCAGAGATGTACCCAAAAGCTATAGATGCAAAGCAAAACGCATATGTCTGCCTTTCCTGCGCAGTTGCCGGGGAGGAAGACACGTCTTCTTCCACTCGAGAGTATAAAAACGGAAGCGCTTATCAAGGACTTTGCACCTTGGAGTGAGAGAGAACATTAACGCATAAGGCGTTTTAAGGTCATTTGATGAAGAAGGCGGAACAAGTTCAGGCATGTGCCTCAGTTCTGGATCACACGCCATGCTTTCGCTAGGAACTGACTTCGCCACGCCTGTCGCAACAAAGACAGCGACTTAATTTCTAGAAATTGCTTCATTCGACATTCGCTTCGTAATATTGTTTACTGTTTAACAATGAAGTGCGGCCTGTTTTCATCGAGAGCGAACCCTTGCAATCCACCCAAATATAAACGACATGAACTGCGAAATACGCTAAACACTTACCGAATAAAAATTTAACAATGTAGCAAAATGTTGAGGTAGAAAGTATCACTTGTTGCGTAATACCCGATGCAAAATAAAGCTCATATAGACTATCATAGACATGGCATCATTCAGTTCAAGCGAACATGCAAGATATATCTGAACGCATAGCGCAGAACGGAAGCAGGTCGACAGACAATGCATGGCATTACGTACGAAGACCAAAATTGCATAATAGAATACTATGCACGTGTAAAAATTGCAGCACACTTGAGCTTCTCCTTTAAAAGGAGATAACGAAAGCGTAATCGAGCGCCGTGTCTATCGCCTTCGGACTTGCTAGCGTCTTTTGGTTTTCTGGGCAAACCTCCATCGTAGCTTGGGGACACTGGTCGTAACACTGGTCGTTTCACGACCAGTGGCGTAACACCAGTGGCGACCAGTGGCGTAACGACCAGTGGCGTAACACTGGTCGTTTCAAAGTATCGTTGAATCCCCATTGCGAGTATGGTTAAGCGCCCACTACACTATTAGTATTCCTTTTGAGCATCAACAAAGAGCCCACTGCTTGTGGCTAAGGCAACACGAATATATATACGAAACTTTTCACTTTGTTGATTGTTCGGCTGATGGCGATGATCAAAATGTCTGAGCGCTTTGTTATGGGCGGGCTAAAACACGTAGTCGTTTCTAAACTCCCAGGCGCAATTCTGCTTTGATGCCTACGCATTGTAGCATGTTTTAACATAGGCGTATCAGCCTGGGCGGGGGGGGGGGGGGAGCCAAAGGGGCACTAACCCCTTACTGGGAAATGTCAGTGAAGGGGGGGGGGGGGCTTACTTTCGATTAGTGCTCGCCATTGGCTGCACGCTTCGGAAACCAACAACAACGAAGAAGCATTCGTTCAACAGAGTCATCACTAAATAGTATTGTTATGACAAAATGAAAATATCGCGTGGGAGTGTTGCAATATAGTGATGTTTTCCTGAACATTTCTGCTGTGGCAAGTTTTTGGAGGCTCTGTGCGGTGTTGTCCGCTTGTGGGACGCTTTCGCGCCTTGTGCTCTCGCGTTGCAGGTAGGCTAGGCCTGAAAAGGGCCCTCTTATGTTTAATCACACGTTCATGCGTTTATTTGGTTGTGACTGAACGATGCAGTAATAGATGCGAACGGACAAACTTTCCATGGACTCGTCAAATGTTCAGGAAAAACATTGTCTTTCATAAAAACAATAGCATCACAGCTGCTCTGTCAGAGCATACTGTGAGATGGTTATTGGAATGAAAAAACTTTATTTCAGTCCTGCAGGACGCGCTTAGCGCGTAGCGGGCGTCTCCCACGTAGGTACCGACAGGGAGTACCTGGCGGCCGCTTCGTGGGCCTGCTGGACGGCCCATTGCTGGTCGGCGAGAAGTGAGCTCCTGAGGGACCTCTCCCACTTGCTTGAAGTAGAGTCGGGAGGAGTTGTTCCACACTCCCAGAGTATGTGTGCGAGTGTCGCTGTGTGTCCACATGATGGGCATGTGTCGCTGGGGTATGCATCGGGATAATAAACGTGAAGCGTCGCAAGGTTTGGGTACGTGTGTATCTGTAATAGTCGTAGGGTTAATGCCTGCGGTCGGTTAAGTTTCGGATGTGGGGTAGAAAAATGCGGCGTTCCAAGTAAAAGTGCTTTGTGATTTCATTGTACGTAATTGGTACATCCCGCTTGGTATCTAACCCAGCAAGATGATTATTCTTAGGAATATTTTTGAATGCTCCAGTTTTGCCGCAGTCTCCGATCAACCTGATCCGCCTTGCGTACGGTAATTATCAGCAATTGCGGCGTCTTGCTAACTGGCGATGATTAAAGCAGTGAACTGGAGCTCCAGGGGAAACTCAGGTTTTTACTTGCCGCGCAACTTGGCCCACAGGACCAGTGAGAAGGTGAAGGGCCATCGTTTGCGCACTGTGGAGACTTAATGAAGAGTCGAGCTATTTGGTTTTCTTTCAACTTCTAGCTAGTTGGTTTTCATTCAGCTCTAAATACAAATTGAACAGCAAAAAAGCACACACGTGGCAGCGCTGCCTGTTTCTTTCTCTCTCAGCAGGGATGAGCTCACAGAGACATATATATGCGCACACAAAGTGCCGAACGCCGTTACGCTGCAAGTGAAAGTATTTTATTGCAATCTTACGAGTTCGTTAGGGACTGTTGCGTATGTTTTTTGGCAAGTGGGTAGGTGTGTTTTTTGTGTTTTTTTCGTGGTTATTACACAGGTGTTGAGGATCAATATGATTAGGCTTGTTTGGTACCTTGTTTTGCTTTGATGCGCAGACGCCTTTTATTTTCCACGTGACCGGGTCGAATGCTTAATGTGTTTGCGTGTACCTCTCAATAAAGCTTAGTTGGGGGTTAAGCGCGGTGTTGTCTCTTCCTCTGTTCTTGTCCATATTTCTGCGCTGTTTTTACTTCCCACATATGAGACGATTGCCCACGTTTGCCCTGTGTTTTTGACTGAGTTTTTTAGGTTACCTTTTGAGATCTCTTCCTTCAAAGAAAAGTGGTTATGTGGGCTGCATACAGAAATTGGACTAGTGATGCCATCTCTCGGCCTGTTAAAATGTTATTGAACTTTGTGGCGTCTGACAAAACGCCAAGCGCGTGTTGTCGCTGCTGTATCCCTGCCCAGATGTTTCTCGGCGCACTCGTAAGCGAGGAACGTGCGATTACATTCACGTGAGGTAGGCGCATGTCGCACGGTCATTTTTGGTTTCAATAGACGCTCTGCACGAGATCAACGCTTGGGCTACGACCGTCACCTCTCGGTGCGTTAGGACAATAATAAGAGGCACTCGTATTGAAAACGCGCCGAATGGGACAGAGAGACAGCTGCTTTACTTGCTTAGCGCTCAATAAGGTGACACTACACCGTCAACAAACGGCACTCTAAGAGGAACGTTTGCGAGATATATGGCACATGTGTAGAGCCATTAGAATTTGTGGTCATTGCGCACTCAATATCGTGCTTGACATTGTGACAACAGAGTGAAAGGCCATCGCTTCGATGCCCGTTGACGGAAATTCTAAATGCGAAGCGTTTCTTAGCGAACTTCGGCTGACTTTGAGCGTATCTATCTATCTATCTATCTATCTATCTATCTATCTATCTATCTATCTATCTATCTAGGCGCATACGACTTTTAGCTCTCCTGGCCGTTTCGATAAATCTATCGATACCAAACTTGGCATGGCATAGCATGACTGTATGAAGAATATATTTGACTAGTCATAAGATGAAAATAGATGGAAAACGATTTTCATCTTATGACTAGTCAAATATATTCTTCATACAGTCATGCTATGCCATACCAAGTTTGGTATCGAGAAAACCGCAATGTGGACATGGAGGAGCCCTAATGGCGAAAATAAGAACGAAATAGACTTTATAATGACTGCACACCCAGGAATCGTGCAGGATGTGGAAGTGGTTGGCAAGGTACGATGCAGTGACCATAGAATGGTACGGTCTCGAATTCGCCTAGACTTCAAGAAGGAACGACAGAAACTGATACGCAAGAAGCCAATCAATGAGCTAGCACTGAGAGGGAAAGTACAGGAATTCAGAGTGTCGCTGCAGAACAGGTACTCGGCTCTTAGTGAGGAAACCAAGCTTAGCGTAGATACAATGAATGATAATCTGACGAGTATCATTACGGAGTGTGCAGTGGAAGTTGGAGGCAGGGTAGTTAGACAGGACACTGGCAAGCTTTCCCAGGAAACGAAGAACCTAATTAAGAAGCGTCAAATCATGAAAGTGTCAAGTACAACAGACAAAATAGAACTGGCAGAGCTTTCGAAGTTGATTAATAGACGTAAAGTATGCGATGTAAGAAGGTATAACATGGAGAGAATTGAACACGCTTTGAAAAACGGAGGAAGCGTCAAAGCAGTAAAGAGGAAACTTGGGATAGGCAAAAGTGGGATGTATGCACTAAGGGACAAAGAAGGCAAAATAACTACCAATATGGATAGGATAGTTAAAATTGCGGAGGAGTTTTACAGAGATCTGTACAGTAGCCGAGACAACCACGACCTTAATACTATAAAAACTAGCAGTAACCTAGATGACACCCCACCAGTAATGATAGAAGAAGTCAGAAAAGCTTTGGAGAGCATGCAAAGAGGCAAAGCTGCTGGTGAGGATCAGGTAACATCTGATCTGCTGAAAGATGG